TAATTTTCAAATGCTGGTGCTGCTTCGAACTGTGTAGCATCCCACCCAATGCCCACTAAGCTATTTGGGTGGCGACAATTTTTGAGCCGCGCCCTTCGCGCCGGCTTACGGGTGACAGTGAATACGCTGAAGTGCTCCGATCTCTGCGCGCCTCGCCGTTAGTATCCTGTAAAGGGGAAGCAGACGTACGGCGTGTAACGGAACTGTATGACTCAGTGCGCTGAAGAGCGAGAGGTTGCACGTTCGATTCCAAGCCGTCCTGTTTGGATATTTCTTTCTCTTCTGAATCATTTTGTTTTTGGCTTGTATACATTAAACATACATGTACACATACGAGACAACACAGCGACTGCGAAAGACCACCGAGAGTGTGCACATATAATTGATGTGCAGTAAAGCTGGCTCAGTAGGTTTGCTGATTATTTTGGCATGACCCAATGCTACTTCTGATTGCTGTTTGGCCTCGACGAAACTCCGCACTCCGCGTGCTCTTTGTCTGCAGCTCCATTAAATTCTAACTTGAAATTCCAAGCAGCATAAGTTCGTAAAGTTGAACCATTACTTCAAGACTATTCATGGCAATAAAACCACTTAAATTGAGACAGTACAGCCAACGGCCGTGGTATCGCACTGTCCAGTTACGTTATCTTACGTTTTACTGGTTTGCAAGGCCCCGCGTACTACACCTCTCAGGCATTTTTGAGAATAGGCGATTGATCCAACCCACACTTCGAATGTGATGCGGTTGATTGAGCCTAAATTGCAACTTTCTACAATGTGTTCTCCGTCATCATCGCTGTATATCCGGGCGAACAGTCTCATTAACTCAGCGAAAAGACAACCCATGCATATTCCACCGAGGATGCGTGATGCGCATTTTGTGGATGAAAGCACGTGCACTGAAAGCAATAGTGTCAGCGATGTACATCCAAAGAAGGCAGCTCTGACGTGCCCATAAAGTGATTTCCAGGGCTGTCCCACGTGTTACATAACCTAATAACTCACAATGAAGCCACACACGGCATCGATTTTTAGTTTATTTACTGCACTGCATAACTTGAGACTAATAGACGGAAATTAATTAAAGCAAACGTAAAGACAAGTTTGCCGCCGATCGGAACGGGGCTAGCAACCATGATTCAAAGCTTGTTGGTTCGGTACCGGCTGATGGCAAGTTGCAGCGAGTGACACTGGAGACGGTGGGTACCTTATATAACTAATGCGGACACGAGACACAAAACTACGGTGGTCTGCTTGCGTAGTCTGAAGTTGGGAAATGTGAGCGCGCTCCGCTATATCTCGACGAAACTACGAAGGGATCGTGGCTCGCTGCGCATAGCTATGAAAGTCGATTTGAATATTTATTGTAGAAAGCAGCTGAACTACATATCTACGTTAATGGTCAAGTCAGGTTTTGTGTCCCACGTTTATTTTCAACCAATGCCGTCATAAGGTTAAAGGTCAAGTCAGGTTTTGTGTCCCAGGTTTATTTTCAACCAATGCCGTCATAAGGTTCCCAACAGAGACTTTCGCGTGGACCAAATTGGGTCAAGTACTAATGCTGAATGGTGCGGAGTGCATACCATTACAAATCGTATGAAAAGGTTATCGTCGCTTTCTATTTATGACTTGTTGATCGCTTTGGAAGCCGACAACAGAGCGTGCCAAAAACACACGTCGTGCACATCAGGTGTCCGGAAAAAACCTCCTCGCCATCGCCCATCAAGAGCAGTTGTTCATCAGCTGCGCCCACAGACGGAGACAGTCCGCGCAGTCGCCGTGAAGAGTTCGCCTGCCACGCGAGCCGAGTATACACGAGCGACGAAAGGCCCATGCTACCACCAAGGGTGCCACACCCAGCTTTGAACGTTGGTTCTGGCGCTGGAGTTTGGACATTCTTGCATGGTCCGTGACAAGCTGTGGCCCGACTCTACTTTGTCTACGCCGAGAAAGGCTTATAGCACCAGCCAAGAAGGACACGTTAAGCCCCAAAGATCAGCCTGCTTCACTGTTTCTCAAACGTTACACAGGTAGTGTAACCACTTACAGAAAAGAATATCCTGGGACCTTGGCCGACGTTCTCGCAAAAGCGTGGGGCCACGAATGCCGGCTTGTGCTTATTGAGGGCCACCGCGGACTTCACGAGCGCTTGTGAGCGAACATCGCGAGACTGTGCTGCGTAGTCTCAAGCTATCTATCTGTTTCTTGCTCTTCTTTTCTGTCTATCTCTTCCCTTACTACTATACCCCCTTTCCCTCACCCCATGTGTAGGGTAGCCAACCGAGCCAAAGCATTGTTAACCTCCCTGCCTTTCCTCTTCAATTTTTCCTTTCACTCTCTCTTACTTTTTATTGGAGAGGGGCAGGAAAGAAAGCTGCCCTTCACGGTAATTTCGACACCATCGGGAGCACATTGTGTACGAGAAGTCATGGACTCTAGCGCATCACGTCTAGGACGGGCAGACGTCCAAGCTTGCCATTCAAGGCAAAATTGGTGGGAAAAAGAGCGATGCTGACGAAAGAAAAAGTATCGTAAAGATAAAAGGCTAGCTATGGCTCCCACGGATGTTTCGTAGCGAATGTATCTAGATGCACGATGTTCAAAGTGTTGATGACATGCACTGTTCATGGCACTGTACGCTCCAATATTCGGTGTATGTATAAAGGTATATAAGCGCTGAGATGGGTGTTTCGGTCCGCCAGATTGCGATGATCATCGACGGCGCATAATGACAGTTCCTAGCTCCTGCGTCTTTCCGGGAGAAATCGGCGGTGGCCGGCTTCCCGGCTTTCTCGTGCTGCTTGATGCAGTGCGAGGCTGCCTAATGAGCGCCTTCTAGCACGCGCCATCGACGGTGCGACCGAGCTGAGCGAAGAGGCGCTCATTCGCCCCGATACCTTAGCGGTGTTCGAGCTTCGTTTGTGCTGACGCACGTAGGGCTGCTGGGCCTTAGTCAAGAAAAAAAAGTGCTTGCGCTTGCTCAGATGAGCGCAGCGTTCTGGGAATTCTGTGTGCCGTTCGACTTTAGTTCTAGGAATGCTTTTCCTTCGGCAAACTTGAGCGATTCCTAGCATTGAGATATCGCAGCAGCATATGCGGCGCCCACTAGTGGAAGACGAAATAATGTAGGAAAATTGTGAAAGGGAAAACGATAGGTGCAACCTTAAGAGACAGGGAAAGAGCAGAGTAGGTCATGGAACAAACGCAGGCTATCAGTATCGTAGCTTAAATCAAAAGTGGGCTGGGCACGTGGCACGTAGGCAGGATAACCGCTAGTCATTAAGGGCAAATAAATGGAATTGTCCGTAACCACATCGCGCGAGATCAGAAAAAAACCCTATAGTATTGATGATACAGTGGGGCTCAAACCCGGGTCCGCTGGGTGCCAGCCCAGTATTATATCACTGAGCCACGTCAGTGTTTATTTTATTGCATGGTATTTAATAAAGTATTTGCGCAATAAAGACAAATCAAGTGAACAAAAGTACAATCAAATCGCGAAAATAAGCGCTCAAGTGTTACTCATAAACACTTAATGGCTAACACAGCGCGAGTTTCTCACATGGAGAGTTCTTCACATCATGTTATGCAAACAAAAAAGGGGTAGGGCAAACAGTTCTCTAAGATGGAGTACCAGTGCGGTCTAAAGTCTAGCCCGTCGTAAATGTTTTGAGGTGGATATACATTTGAATGAAGTGTGTGCTTGATGAGGTGGTGAGCTCTGCATTGCGGTCTTGCGTTCGTGTCTTCCCCAAGCTGTGCATACCCATGAGGAAAAACATGTCATATGTCATCATTAATCGCTGCTGGTAGAAGATAACGTATCGTGTGAGAATTAATGACGAAACGTTTTTTTAGTGCTCGCTGAAGGACATCCCAAAACAGCGTGGCATCTTTGCAGCTAACAAAGCAATGTTCAATCGTTTCCAGCACATCACATAGACGGCAGTTAACAGACGGAATGAAAATACCCTTTCTTTATAACCATGTGTTTACCGCCAATGTTTCCGTGTGGGACTTCTTGGCAAACTTACTTTAGGCAGGCTTGGTGTAGGAAAATCAATCGCGTTAATACGTCTTATAAAGCGTATAAAGAACAGGCAGTCGTCGCACAATGCGAATAGCGTAACGAGTAGGTCGTCCAATGCTCGAACCCATTACAAAAGCTTGTTTTTGTTCAGCTATTAACTGTGGCGCATACCTACTCCAGGAATCGTCGTCAGCCACTGCATGAACAATTGGCACAATATTCATCGCAATAGTTTAGCGGATACCACGCTTCTCAGAGAGTGACGAAAAATAGCATAGAGAATGCCGGCAAACTACCCTAAAATTTTTATCAAGGCCGTAGTGCCGTAGTGGGCATCACCGTAGTGGGCCACCATTAATTCCCTAGTGGGTATCAAGCAAGTGTGCTTGCAGCAGTTACCTAATGAGTGTTCAGAAAAGGCTCTGAAAGGCCGCTCTTCTAGCTTTCGCTATGAGTGTGGTGCACCTTCTGAGCAGTTCTAGCGTTATTTTTTCATCGTCGCCAGCCACAGCGTTAAAAAATTGCAAGAATTTCTTGCAAGTCTGCAGCGGGTATTGCACCTCCCCGAAGAATGACGAAGGATGGCATAGTGAACGTCTACTACCTACACAATGACATATAGTGTAGCGGGTACCCTGCTAGTGTGGTTACAGGAGCTACCCAAAAAGCCCATTTTTCCAGATTTCGCTGTGACAGTGGTGCACGTTCCGCGCAGGGCTGGCATTTTTTTTTTAAAGCGTGATTGCATATTGTCGTAAAACAAGTGGGCCTCTTTCACATATAATCCACATTGCTTCGTAATGATGTGACTTTCGATGAAAACTATTACACAGAATGCACGAGATCTCTACTCCCTACACTGCTTTTTACCTCATAAACTATGCTGTACAGCCTACGCACGGTGACGAGAGGAACGAGACATCGGCCAATGAAACCGCCGTGCTCATCAACCCTTTTTGCTGATTCGCAGGTGTCGTGGGTCCGGCAACGCGACTTGCACATCCTGACGGTGGGCACGTACACGTACACTTCCGACCAGCGCTTCCACTCGATCCACCTGGAAGGATCCGAAGATTGGACGCTCGAGATCCGCTACACGCAGAAGTGGGACGCCGGCGTCTACGAATGCCAGGTCTCCACCGAGCCCAAAATGAGCCTCAACATCTCGCTCTCGGTGGTCGGTGAGTGATCGCTTTCGCTAACGCGATTGCTTTGTCGAACCGTGCTTCCCATACGACGTGTGCTTTGGGATCATTCTCACGTCTAGCCACGTCGCCAGTGGCGTAGGAGGAAAGCAAGGCAGCGCGTAATGCATGCCCGATTGTTCTAAGATGCTCTGAAAGGCTCCTCCACAAGTTCACAGGGTGCACGACTATTACATTTTCTAGATTTTATTTAATTTCTGATAAGTAAACATGGGTAGTCATTGCCTAGAAATGGCGATATTTTTTTCAATTATCATTATTTCAAAAAAGAAAGAAAGAATGAATGAATGAAAGAATGAAAGAATGAAAGAAAGAATGAAAGAAGAATGAAAGAAAGAATGAAAGAAAGAATGAAAGAAAGAATGAAAGAAAGAATGAAAGAAAGAATGAATGAATGAATGAAAGAAAGAAAGAGAAAGAAAGAATGAGAAAGAAAGAATGAGAAAGAAAGAAAGAAAGAAAGAAAGAAAGAAGAAAGAAGAAAGAAAGAAAGAAAGAAAGAAAGAAAGAAAGAGAACGAAAGAATGAGGAAGATAGAATGAGATAGAAAGAATGAAAGAAAGAATGAAAGAATGAATGAAAGGATGAATGAATGAATGAATGAATGAATGAATGAATGAATGAATGAATGAATGAATGAATAAATGAATGAATGAATGAATGAATGAACAGAGCCGTGCCGCTTCGGTGTTCGAACAACACTGGACCCGTTAACCAGGTATGCAGCTGGATACTGGGCACCAGCGGCTTCGAAATAAGAATATTTGTATTAGTTAGTCCGTGATCTGCATTCAGAGCTCTCTGCCATTGTGAGTATTTCTCTGCGACTGTAAATTATTTTCCGCACTGTGAGTTTTGCTAACGAAAACCACAAAGGCAGGCTACAATCTGACATAACTGTAGCATCAAACGTTGTCGTATTTTTCCTGGTGTACTTGCGCAAAATCCGCGGCTCTCGCAGTTTTGTTTTCCTAACTTAGCTGAAGTATCGAAAAGATTAAGCTGCTACATGCTCCTCTCGTCAATTGCAATCACATAGTAAGTGCCTTGTTCATGTTAACCGTTTTCCCGCCGCGGTGGTCTAATGGCTAAGGTACTCGGCTGCTGACCCACAGGTCGCGGGTTCAAATCCCGGCTGCGGCGGCTGCATTTCCGATGGAGGCGGAAATGTTGTAGGCCCGTGGGCTCAGATTTGGGTGCACGTTAAAGAACCCCAGGTGGTCGAAATTTCCGGAGCCCTCCACTACGGCGTCTCTCATAATTATATGGTGGTTTTGGGACGTTAAACCCCACAAATCAATCAATCATGTTAACCGTTTTGAGGGGAAGGCAGGCTCTTGCAAAATGTCGCGAAGCCTCGAAAGATTTTCGGCTCACCGTTGAAGAAAGAACGTCATAAATGTAACGCTCAAATGCGTATGAGTTTTAGTGCTGTTTTATGAACGAGTGAACAATAACGCTGCATGTAAAAAAAAATTGCCCGCAGCTTCTCTCGGGGGAACACTGAGGAGGATGCAGAGCATATAATTGGTTAACGGGGTGTTAAAGTGCGACTTACTTGGGTCGATGGCTAAATTGGTTAACGTGGTTGTGAAATGGGGTGTTAAATTGCGACTTACTTGGGTCGATGGCTAAATTGGTTAACGTGGTTGTAGGAGGGGGTGTTAAATGAGTGAACACGTACACACGTATGCGAAAGGGCGGCGCTGGTCGAAGGGACGTCGATCATTGTGTTTGTGGATTCGTTGGAATTCATTTCACCGCGACCTTGGACGTCGACGCGCCGTACAAACCAACCGACGAGCGGCAACTGAGCGAGCGAGCGCCGACCTTGAGTATATATACAGCACGACGGCGCATGCACTGTCAGCTGTTGAATGTTCTCGAAGCGCGACGCCACATGCGCGTCCACTGGAGGATCAGGAGAATTGTAGATGTCGAACGCGGTGTGTAGAGGAGGAAGGGTGCACAGATGGTGGAGGAGTGAAGCGCGCGCGGTGTGTAGAGGAGGAAGGGATGCACAGATGGTGGAAGAGTGGGCGACGGCGCGACGGCGCATGCGCGCGCGTCAGCTGTCGAATGTTCGAGAAGCGGTGCGGACGGCGCGGACGGCGCACTACAAGGCGCGAGTATAAGATGCTTCCGCATCTAAAAAATGCGAAAATTGCGCTTCATCAACGCTGAAAAAGAAAATGGAACACTGTATTCTGGGTGGAAAAGGGGTCTTAGTTTCTTTTTAATATAGTGAACAGATGTGCTCAACTTTTTCTCTATATCGCCCCGCCATGGTGATCTAGTGGCGAAGGTACCCGGCTGCTGACCCGCAGGTCGCGGATTCGAATCCCGGCTGCGGCGGCTGCATTTCCGATGGAGGCGGAAATGTTGTAGGCCCGTGTGCTCAGATTTGGTGCACGTTAAAGAACCCCAGGTGGTTGAAATTTCCGGAGCCCTCAAGTATGGCGTCTCTCATAATCATATGGTGTTTTTGGGACGTTAACCCCACATATCAATCATTCAATCAATTTTTCTCTATATGCAAGGGCGAAAATGCATATCTCTGATGTTTGATGCACCACTTTTTTTTACTCCAAACGTCGTTGTCCGTTCCTCTTGTCGCAGTGGCGAAGGCGCGCATTCCGGAGGGCAGCAACTTGTACATCCAGAGCGGCAACACCATCAACCTGACGTGCGTGGTGACAGACACGCGGACACCTCCCGTGTACGTCTTCTGGTACCACGACGACCGCATGATCAACTACGACTCGAGCCGTCGGGAGGGCATCCGCGTCGTCACCGAGCGATGGTCCCGCCACCACCGTCTCCAGGCTGCAGGTATGCACCGTCGTCCCGAACGTTGCTCCGATACCTACGTTCTGCCATAAGCCAAGGACATGTATACCGCTAACGGCTCAGCCCTATACCACCCAGTTACCCGAGTATCAGTCAGCTGAATTCACCAGATGTGAGTATAGCTGAGCGTGCCCAATGCTGGTGGAACATGCATACCAGACAAGCCAGCTGCAGACGCCGCGATCATTCTAGCCACCTCCTTACAGCCCCTTTGTAAAAAAGCTCTTATCCTTACTCGATATTGGTTGGTTGTCCCTGTACCGCGACCTTGGACATTTCTTTGCTTACTGAGCTATTGAGTGTTGACTTTTCATTCTGCTCTTCGCAGCAGCAAATCAGTGCTAGGGTCAAAGAGTGCGAGACGTTCCTTGAAGGAAGCCTTCTACTTTCTTCACCCCAGGTCCTTGATGCAGCCACACGGGACTCGGGAAACTACTCGTGCATACCATCTTACGCAGATCCTGCAAACATCACGGTCCATGTACTCAATGGTAATTTGCTTTTGTTTTTTCTGTCGCGAGATTGTACTACACCTGTTCCTCAAGAGAGCGTCGGAGCTTTAGGCTGTCCTCTCCGTTAATGGGCGATACCCGGAGATACAGAACTTGACCCGTACACGTGCATGGGGGAATTCATTACGCATAGAAAGTCCTTAGCGTTATTTCATCGCTGGTTAGTACTAAATAATAAAGCTGTACTGTAAATTACTTTAGTGCGCTAGAAAAACAAACTCTCTGATCTCTCAGTGACAAGCGAACACATAGAATAAAACAGTTCCGGCGACACCCCACCTTCTGCCGATAAATTCACGCAGCTTCTCACACGACAACAAAACAGGAAGACTCAGCCGATAAATAAATGTTTCTACCTAAGAATGAAGAGAACGTTGAACTTACATGGCGCTCGGATATCTTCTAGTGCGCTGGTTTTTAGGCGAAATACAAAGAAATGTAGAAGTGGCTTCTGTTCCTTATATGCCTGTATGATTATATTTTGCTTTACTACGAAATAAATAATAACTTGTAACATAGTATATATTGGCGAATACACCAATATATACTTCTTTCTGTTGCTAAGCTAGACAGAGGGGAGCAGAAACGATGTGAATTGTGCAGTAGAAATGTTTTGATGGAGCAAGAACGAATTTCACAACTGCATCATTGTGGCAGGATTTCAATTCATCAAGAAATTGTGTATTCTTTACCAATTAGCTACTGTTATGCTGTCGGCAAGTTCACATATTAGTAGACGTAAGTATTCATGCCGCTCTTTAGCAGTTCACCTTGAATTTCTTTTACTGCGCCTATCGAGAAACACTCTCCTGCCTTTTTGCTCTTTTTTTCTCGATAGACGCTTTACTCGATCATCACCACAAACACACCCAAAATCGTCGAACATGTTTTTTTTTTTTTTGTAAACACGCATCACCATAAGCGGAAGCGCCCCTCTTTACCACACTCGGTAGGACCTCTCTTTTGATTCCACAGTTCTAACCACGCAGCTTTGCGACGATAGGGGCAGACCCAGATACTGCATTTCTTCTTACATATAGCCTCAAAGATCAATGGCATGTCGTTCTGGGGAGCACATCATCGATCCCCTTTCACTTTGCCATCCCCTGCGAAACTTGTTTTTTTTTTCTCGTTTTGAACTCGCAAAACGAGGGGTGTGCGTGACACTTGGCCCCTCTGATGTAGTGCCACCTACATTTTAAAAAAAAGACACATCCTGTTGCATTGAGCCGAAACGGCGTCTCGGGCCTAGTTCTCTTGGTACCCGCTCTGGCTCCACTGCTCCAGTACGGCAGTTCACGGAGAAGCACTTCCACGGTCTTCAGTCGTACGCGGGACAGTGACTTTAGTCAGGTCGTAAAGAACGAGTTTTATAGTGGCACATCACAGGTTAAATATTGAAGTCGTTATTAGGAGTGCCAGTTACCCCTCTTATGTGAACAGCTTGCTCTAGGAGTGTCAATACTTTGTAGAGTGGGCCTCAATAACTCTTCATGAAGACTGCCCGTTAGACTAACCTGAAAGTACTCTATCACGAAAAAACGGGAGATAAAAGCCGTGCCTGCATTTCATCTCAATCGGCCTGTAATTTTTTCAACAGTTCTTTTTGACGAGCCACTTCCTTTTCCAATATGTTCAATGCTTTCTCTCGCACTTCCAAGCAACGCGCAAGATATAATGTGGTTTGGCAGGGCTGATCTAGGGGCACGGAAAGCTACGTTCCGTGCGCGATTCTGAGGTCAACTGAGAAACGAGCACTTCGATCTCGTCCTACACATGGTGCGAACGACTTTTATCTTGGGATTTTCTCCTGACCCTTGACAATCACCAGCCCCAGCTATTGCGTCATCAGCTGGATTCATTCGCCGGCGTTTCCTGGGCTGCGCTTTTTTTTTTCTTTTTTTTGCAAGTAGTGTTTTGCACGTAGTGTTTTGCATAACCGGAAACACAATTGGGACCATAGTTCGCACCTCTTCAACAGCAAACCGTGTGCGTAGGATGAAAAGTGATTAGCTTCAATTCAAGAGGGTTAAGTGGACCAGAATATGATTATTTTTATTTGCACACTCAGGAGCGAAACCTCGCCACGGTGAATGCGCAGTAACGGCCGAAGCTGCGCCTCCCACGGGATACGATGGTTTACACGTCATTTTTCCCCACTGATTTTGGGCGTATCGACATTTTTTTTATTATGAATATCAATACGACAAGACCAGCGGAAGTTGCCTGTATGCCTATGAACACACGATTACGTTTTACTGACGCTCGCTTCATATCAAATTTTCGAGCCATGATGTACACAGCAATTGAGACGTGCATGCACGGAGTTGTGGCTGAATAGTTTTACGCATATCATAGGCTAACCAGACACATGACTACACTGGCCTCGTATGGCCCGACGTAACGTCAGCGCTGCACTAACATCGGTTGTATGGAGCTTTCTACTATTTTACTTTTAAAAAATAAACGATTAAACAGTTCGTGTAGAACTGCGCGTGCACCGGATTCACAGGAGGCGCTTCCATTCCAAGGCTGGCGCGCTTCCTTTTCCTACTTCCTTTTTCCTACTTCCTTTACCTACTTCCTTTTCGGTAGTATTACCTTGTTCATTCCGCATTTGCACATGTCTTTTTTTTTTCATGCAGGAGAAAAACCGGCCGCCATGCAGCATGGACGCCAGGGCAACCTCGCCGAGCGGTCGCTGTCATCGCTGATGCTGGTGTCGGCAGTGCTGCTTTTGCACCGGCTCTTTTCTCACTTCGTGGTGCACAGATAGTGTGGCGGACGGAGGGACATTCGCCTTTCGACAGCGTCGCCGAAAACCATCCAGCTTAGCGCTGCCGCGGCATCGAAGCAGCGAGGAATACGCGACCGACGTGACGCACTCCAGGATCGACTGATCTATTCCCGACACCGCCTCTGTGCCGGCGGACAGGCTTCCTCAGTCAACGCCTTCGATTGTTTTGCCCGTGTTTATGTTTAAGCGCTCCTCCTGGATCTCGTCACAAAGGAGCCGTTCCGTGGAAGGAAAAAAAAGACCTCGAGAAGAAGGCGGCAGGCTACGTATCGTCGGCTATTTTCGTCGCGTCTCCACATCCCCATTAACGCGACCAGCCGCCGCTTTACCATTCCTCGGACAGGCCTGAAAACTGGCCTTTATGTCCCTGGTCGTGTAGTGCCTACCCAACGCAGGATATCTTTTTTTTTTCAATCCCAATGTTACAAGGACAACAACGTACCAACATACAGTGAGACATCGTCGAATATACGTAAAAAACTGCACAGACGCAAAACGTCCGTGCGTAAACTTTGGAAAGGCCTTCCAGTTACGTAACCAAACGGAACGAGTGTCTTGTCACAATAACTGGACATGTCGTGCAGCACGTTCCCCGTCAAATATCATGAGCAGACTCATCATAATAGAAACGTTTAGAATCACTCCACGAATATTTAGTGAGAAACCCATAAGTAAGACAGAGTGCTCTGGGAGTTTCCTCGAGCTTGGTGAGCCATTGCGGTGCTGCATTTGCGCAGAACGACGTGCGTATTTTATTACCATTTTTATGAATATTGTCACCTTAACGTCACTACTCACTTCCTCTTTGGTTAAAAAAAAAACGACCGAATCAATCATACGCACAACTGTCGCGACATGAGCCTTTGTTGCTAACGGCGGGGGCATTGTCCCAAATGTTCAATGCGTATGTAAGTCTTCCCAATATGTTCTATTATTTACTTGTCTGCTTTTCTGTTCATCTCCTCCGAGGAACACAGCACTGAAATGTTATAGTAGGCACTGTCTTGTAATTTTTTTAACGAAGGAAGATGTCCAGAAGTAGCTTGTACGTGTCCTAGCTTTGAAGCACAATTACTGACGTTCACGACCCAAGAGACGACCAGCAGAACCTTATGGCTAGTGCGTATGTCTTACTAAGCTCCTAAATGCTGTGTGGCATACGATGGTGGCGGACGAATTTAGCACAAGCACATTGCGGTGAAATCTAGTCGCTGCTTCCATCTTTCTGCGCAAAAAGGACGAACGCGTGCTTCTTGAAGAGACCGATCAGTCTCACCACCGATGAAGCTGGCACAAAATCTTTAGCCTTGTTATACCTTCTTTAACGCGGTATAACTAACGCGACACGGCACTTCAGAAAACGTTCAACAGTCGTTTCACAGCACTCCGATTAAAACAAAGTTGCACGAATTTTTCCAGCAACCCAAAGGCTTGCTTTCCACGTGCTTAACGTTTAAATAACTTCAGCAAAAGGCATAGAATGAATTGTAGCGGGGCTCTAAAGCTTCCCGAAGCTATCGATTCGCGGTAGATTCTTTCGCCTTCATTAACGCTGTCTAGTTGTGGTGAACTACAGTAGCCGGTTGTCAAGATCTCGTCACGTTTTATGTCTGTGCACTCGTTTCCCGGTGTTCGAAGATATCGCGCTTTGCATTTACAGTTGTAAGCAGCATCTTTCTCGCCAGAAAGTACTGACAGTATGTAAACTTTGCTCCCAACCACACTTCGTACAGGCTTGCCATGTAAAGACCGTTTTGTGACGTTCCTTCCTTAGGTGACCTTCATAACAGGTGACTTTATTATTTAACAGTAAAAGGTTCGTTCCGCCCTCCGCACCCTCGAAACCCCACAAGCACTTTAGGCTTCACGGGCACAGATTGCATTTTTCGCCAACCCCAACCTGCCTACCAAACTAGTCGCGTTCCCCGTTTCCAAAAGAAAGAAAGTTCTACTTCTGGATCGGCCAGCGGTACTCATCGTGACTGGGTATACACAACTCGGCTAAGTTCCCAAACTTTGCACCGCGAAAATGTTTCTCTTGGTCGATCGGCAGGCGGTGGCTCCAGCGCGAGGTCACCAGTCAAAGTGCATGATAAACGGCGGCGACGTGAAGCCGCTGCATCGACAAAGACAACGCCCTTGCTTTGGACGAATGCCGTCGTCGCCAAGGCTTCAGGTCAGATGTGCGTGTGTGTGTGTGCGTGCGTAAATGTGTTGTTGACACCTCATCCTCTCTTCCACTGACTTCCTCTGAGACCAGCAACACCAAAGCAGAAGTTCACTGGTCATACTGAAATAGCGAACGACAGAGAACGGAAGTGAAGGCACGCGCCAGCGATGCAGTGCCACTCATGGACAAATAAAAAGGGGCAAGCAGCCACTGTTTGAATGAAGATGTCTCGTTGTGAGTGTCTTACAGCATGCTCATCGTCTCCATGGCAACGCTCGTCGGCGGCAGTCGATCACCGTGACACTTCTGGCGGATTTTGCGTCCCGCAGGAATCGATCTCTTGCGTCTGCGATGAGGTTACACTATTTGAGGTCGATTGAGACGAGGGTTACAGTACGTATACCCGCCTCGTTGTGCAAATCGAGTAGACGTGTGCGTTATACAACAGCACTGTACACACGGACAAGGTTGTATGTACACACGACTACCACTAATATAAAACCGGGAGGAATTTCCTGAAGGGCACATGGTTTCTTTTTAAGCTTGGCCTAGGTTAGTTGAGACACCCGGTACAGAGGTGTGAATTCAATAATAAATTTCGCACCAAAATCACTACCACACTGCAAACGAAGGAAACACATAGGCAGGAAGGGCGCCCGTCCTAACCACTTGTTTTCTTCGTTTGCAGTGTGGTCATGGTTTTGGCACGAAATTGACCATTTAATTCAGGCATGCCCTAACTAGCCTAACCGCAAGCACTGCACCCTTTTAGTTGGCAGCAACTTTAACGTGTCGCGTTTCAGTGCTGTTTCTATCTGTGAGAATACTGGGTACGCCACCCAGACACGTTGCCTGTGACCAGCATGCAGAAGCGACTTCATCCATTGGTAAGTCTGTGTCACAATAAAAAAAAAAACTGCTCAGAATGAGTGGTTAGCCAGAAAACTAGGAGCAGTGCACAGGCAGAACTTGGGTGGTCCATTTATGTTTCGTAGTGTGACGCGAGCCCACTCCAACCGGGAAAGTCTTGTCATGATTGTAACCACGCCTCCGTTTCTCAAAGGATTGGTTCATAGTAACGCATCAAAGTCTAAAACATAAATGTTAGGGAATGTTTCAAGATAGAACACCCTTTATTTAGTCCCCCTCCTTCCGTAAAAAAATGCGGAGAAATAAACGTTATGTCCGTTTGCACAGACACCTTCGATCATATACTGTAGTGTCAAGAAAGCGCAACAAGTCGGCTATACTTACATGGAGCGTACCTCGTGCCCCTTTTGTTCAAGTATTGCGATGCGATAACCAAGACATGAGAACATGAGAGAGACCTTTGTCCTGCAATGGACGTAGTCAGGATGATGACGACGACGACGATGATGATGATCCAAGACACGGAAAATAACGAAGCGAAGTCACGTGAACATCGGATACCATCACGACGTCGCGACGGTCTATCTGAGGCTCGCCGAGTATGTCGGCTTTTTCTATAGCGTGTTACGACCGGGGTTTGTAGGCTCCAGAGATCCGGCATGAAGATGCCGAAGCAGGAGGAGAATTAACTTAGTAGAGAGGGTTTATTTACATTGTTTACATGGCACGAGCTCTCTGGCCGTAACCTCTACATTGAGAAGATCTACATCGAAAGATTCTCCATTCAACAAGTCCCTTGGACAAGCACTCAGCAGCCCACTAGGGCTGATTTTTAAACAGTCTCATTTACCCAGATCTCTAGATCGGGGAATAGGTCCATACTGCACTGTCCAATAACATCTTCCACAGCACCACGAGGGTAATTATGCTGGCACCGCCCCCAACAAACACACATACACAAACAAAACACGTGTATGGTCCCGACGATGCTGCCTCCTCCGGCGAATCTTGCTTCTCAGTGAGCGGCGTGAAACGAGTTTTTCATTTGGCCCGACCACCCATGTTTTGTCGACCGGTGGTCGTGGCAAGGCGCCTCAGAGGGCAAATGCCTGGACATCTGGTGCGGATTTGAGCGTCGGTGGCGCATCAGTCAGAGACCCACAGCGGGGGGGGGGGGGGGGGGGGGGAGTGATTTTAAATGTAAAGTGAGCCCCGCAACTGTCTCTCAGGGGGAGGACAGTAACTCACGAGGGATGGGAATAGAGAAGGGATTAAAAGGATAGGATTAAAAGGATAGGATTAAAAGAGAAAGAGATAGAGAGGGGAAAAGGAGAGAGCGAGGCGCAGGGACAGCGAACGACGAAAGTAAACAGAAGACAGGAAAGATGGACATGGTTGCAGGAGTCCGAGGACGGGGCACCATTGGCGAGAGCTGTTGTCGGCGTCAGAAGTTGGCGTAGGGCCGACTCAGTCGGCCAGAGCTACGCTGTCGTCGGAGATCAAGGGGGCACAACCAGTCGGCATGAAATCCAGCGAGTGAGTGGGAGACGCACAGCGCGGTGGTCCAATCTCCATCTTCGGCGGAAACTCGACATTCTAGCTTTGCTGGGGCACGAAGACGCCACGTGTCACATCTCCGCACCGGCCTTAAGGATAGCAGTGCTGCCCCGTGGAGTAATTAGACCCATGCATCGCCCAGTACATAAAAACATCACGGCGTCTTCGTGCTGCTCCTCATCTCCACAAAGTGAGGTGGCAACCTTTCTTCCGTTCCCGTAGCCGCGGCAAAAGGGTGGCCCGCAACAAGCGCTGTTACTGGTCGCTGCGTCAGTTCCAGAAAGTGCTCGACAGGCGCACTCGCGTCGTGCAGTCAACGTGATTGAGCATTTTGGCACCATCTAGAAAAGTTTTTGTGCATACATGTACGGAACATTTGACAGTGAAGCGCCTGACGACAGCTGAGCTTCCGCGCTCGTCACGCTTCGTTATCCAGATACACCCACAGATGGCGTAACTGCCCCGCTCATGCAAATAACTCGAAGGGGCGTGAAAAAAAATGAGGACTAAAAAGAAACACACACAAATGAACGCTACACTCGGCGACAACTTTTCATTGCACTGAAGGGAAAGCTATAGAGGCGGAGCTTCTGCATATGTACAACTACGCGAAGTAGTGCGTTCATGGCGCGCGTCTCGTGGCGCTGTGGAAAGTGATAGGGCGCACCATCAGCGCTTCATGTAGACTCAGACGCCACTTAGTGTTTGAGGTGCACGTAAAAAGGTGGGACTTGCCCACGCGTTCAGAAGCGCGAAGTCACAACAGATGAATTAAAATAAATACAAATATCTTACAGGTGTGAGCTGCGCCCTGTCTCAAATAGCTCCACGAAGAAAATTAAGGAGGAACATTTATATTTCATGTTGAAATATGGGCGCGATTGTGGAACTACCTTCACTGGCGGTAGAATGCACACGATTTGGCTCCGTAGCTTTCCTTTCAGTGCCAAGAAATGTCGCCAAGTATAGTCACTTTATCTGTGTTCTTTCGTTGTTCTTGTTTTTTTTTTCTGCTGCTTCAAGTAATTCGCAAAATGGACCAACTCGCCTAAACCTGCCAGTTGCTGCTGCCTCGTTCGGTGATGGAGTTCCGGTAGCCGAACAGTGCAACCGGGGATCACGGCACGGGCGTGGACAGGGCCTAAAATCGTCCTACAAGGACAGGTTCCCAGATTCCCTCACAGATGGCGTAACTGCTTCGACAGCAGTTACCAAATACCAACTACCAGCAGTTACCAATATACCAAATGCTGGCGAACGCCTGTTGCGGCGGGGAGCCATTCTTGACTGCTGCCAAGTCTGAGCGGCTCTTGTGTTTTTTTTTTTCTTTTCTTCTTTCCCGCCCCCACTTTTTCCCCTTTCTCTACCATTTTATTAAAAAACTAGTAGCAAGCAGAGCCGCATGTTTGGCCAGGGCAGTGGATTCTACATCCACCCGTTGCGAAGGGGTGGCCACACGATCATCATCATCATCACCACCACCACCACCACCACCATCATCATCATCATCATCGGTAATTGAAAGGAAAATACATATCGATAAGAAACTCACCTCAGCTGCTTTCTATTTTAGCTGCAAGTGAAGCGTGCGCAAGCTTTTGCTTAGTGTTAAATGCGAAGCATTTTTTAGTGAACTTCGGCGAGTTGCACCGCATCTATCTGTCTATCTATCTAGCCACCTACGACTTTTAGCTGTCCTGGCCGTTTGGATAATGGTAACAATATCAAAATTGGTATGGCATATCATGACTGTATAAGGAGCATTACTGACTGATCATAAACATGAATACCATGACATTTATGTCATGAATGTCATGATTTACATTTCACGGTCTTGCTGCTCAGAGCTTGTGGTGGTTTCGTTCTACATGACGTACTGTAAAACTGGTATGATATTACATGACTGCATGGGGAACATAAGTGACAAATCCTAAAGTGGAAATCATGACGTTCATGTCATGTAAGTCATGCATGCCATGTGCACGCGCCACGCTCATGGTGCAGTCGCGGTCGTTTCGCTAGCTTCACATGTACTAATTTTGATGTTACGTGGCGCCGATGAATGACTGGTGCCAACATGATAATCATGACATGCGTGTCATGTAAGAACATGACAACATACCACGCTCATTATGCGTCACGGCTGTTTCACTAGCTTCACATATACCAAATTTGGTATTACGTGACATGAATGGACGACGCAGGTAAATGACACGTCCAAACATGATAATCATGACATGTGTGTCATGTAAAACATGACTACATGCTACGCTCGTAGCATGCTCACAACTGTTTCACTAGCTCCACATACACGAAATTTGGAATTACGTGTAGTGAATGGACGATAAAGGTAAAGGACACGTCTAAACATGAGAATCATGATGTTCGTGTCATGTAAGACATGACTATTTGCTACGCTCGTAGCGTGCTCACGGCTGCTTCTCTAGCTCCACATATACCAAATTCTGTATCACGTGACGTGAGTAGAGAACGAAGGTAAATGACACGTCCAAAGATGATAAATATGACATGGAAGTCACGTACGGCATGATTTACGTCCGCCTCGTAACGTTGGGCTGATTTTAAAGTGACATATCAGTCTTCCTCATTCATGCTTCGCATATCACCAATTCCCGCTGTACGTGGGATCTGCCAATCTTTGATCGTTTTCTTTGTGGTCCCGTGTCCATAATAACGAGTCATAAATTCCTGCACTTTTCCTCCGTTTGTTTCGCATAACACCGATTTTCAAGATACGTGCATGAGATCTGATCTTTTTTGTTGTTGTTGTTGTCGTT